CAATTTTACAATTTAATATAATTATTTAAAATAAATAAAAAATATATTTTAATTTTTGTAATTCCCATTTCATTTTGTCGTTCCTTTTGTATCCCTTTTTAAATCATTCTATTCCACCATTTCTTAGACATTAGTGTAACTCTTGTCCTGCAGCGAGTTGGCCATGGTTAGTTGTCCTGCAGCGAATTGTCACAGATTAATCTGAAGTTCTAATTCCAAAGGTGTAGATTCCAAAGTATGGACTTTTCTGTGTTGGCACTCCAAACATCTTACCTGATTTCCTTCCAAATTCATGGGAGAAAAAATATGTCATTTTTCACACACCTTGACTTTACCCTTGAAGTATATGGGAGGAACAGGCAATCCAGTACAATAACATCTATTCATCTAGGTGTCTGTCACTTCTGATTGGAGAGAATGCAATATCATGAGATCTCAACAGAAACCAATGTGCTGGGTGTGATTTACTTTTTTATTATTTGGAAGCAGGGAAAGATCCACTTCCAAGTAATATTTTCCCCATTGTTCCATGTGTACATTTTTTTTGAGGTTTCCTTAGAAGGTGGGTGGATTGGGATAAATAATATTTCTGTCACCCCTTATATCAGTAGGAAATCGGGTGATTTCAGGGACTTGAAGACAGAAAGAAGAAGTAGTAGAGAATTGCCAAAGGGGCCCTATTTTTTATTCAGAGTCTGGGTTATGATATTTCATCTCTGGCTTAATTTAAATACAAGGACTTAACTAAAATACTGTACTTAGAATAATATTATAAAGAAAGGATGGCACACCACTGAATTCTCCACATCAGATCAATAACACATTTATATACCTCACGGCATTTAAAAATGAAACATGTTTTCCCTAGGAATATATTCCCTTAGTCCATCAAACAAACTGTGGGAAATCTAATGAAAGTAGATTAACTATCTATTGACTAGCAAACAGAGAGAAAATGTTAGTGTACTGAAGAGCATATTGATTCAGTGATGTGATTTGTTCTCAAATCCAAATGACTTCCAACAGTTCTCACACATTCTGAAACAAGGATCACAGTATTACTTATCTTTCTAATTCAAATGTAGTTGACTCTCTCCCCCAGTGATGGGATTCAAATATGGGGAAAACCAGTTCTTTGTGTGGATGCCGCTTCCGGAAGTCTATTCTGAGTCTGGGCAACAAAAAATTAGCTACCAGTTCTGCCGAAATGGTGTGAACTGGCTGAATCCCACCACTGCCCTCCCCCCAAAAAAATCCAATGTTCCTGAATCTTTCAAATTTTGAGGTCTGTGGACAATTCTGGGAGTTTGATTTTAAAGGTCAAAACTTTGAACTGCATTTAGAAGCTAGTAAGGACCAAAGCTAATAGGAAATCAGTGCAGAATCCCTTTGACGCACCAACAGCTGAGTAATTGCATTCTAGTCCAATTGAAACTATTGAACGGTCTTTGAAGAAACACCCATGTACAACACATTGAAGTAGTCCAGGCAAGGGTGAAAAGGGCTTGGGTTACTCTGGTAAGTTCCTCTTACTCAAGATAGCATTGTAAAGATGTACTGTATTAGACAGATCTGGGAAAAGGTAGAAGGAAAGAGAAGAAGAACATGACCAGCATCAAGGTGGCTGGACTCAATTAGTGTCAAGTGTGTGTCACTGAAATACATGAAGGTCCAAGTTATGGAGAGATCAACCTGAAGATTCTCCAGCTATGATGTCAGTAGATGTTGATGCCACATGACAGTTGATAATCAATCCATATGAACTTATTCTCTATATAGGCCAAAAGAGTGCAGTATTCAAGAAAGAAAAACATTCAAAACAATATTGATGTTGGGATATATCATTACCTAGAGGTAAACTTTCTGGAATATCTGACCTTCATTGAAGAAGATGGTTTCATTCACACAAGACACATTAAGAAGAAATTAAAATTTCTCCACTTGCTAGTGAGAGAAGAAGTAGACTTAGGCAGAGATTATGCTAGTCTGAAATTGCAGGTTTCTCTTCCATAACTGGGGAAAACTGGAAAATCTTCACTGCAGAGGAGCTATTTTGAGATCGCTGAACTTCAACTTTGTGCCAGAGAAAATACTTTAGGAAGCATCTCCATCAATATCTTCAAATGCTATTGCTGTTTCTGTCCCAATTTCCCTGTGCCACGATGCAGATGAATTGGCCATTCAAGGTGACAATAGAAGAATTTAAGAAGTTTAATCACTACAAGCTAGGAGATTACCTGATTACTGCAATAACATCTAAAATATTTTCTCAACGTTTCCCATATATTTTCTCTAAGCCTCCAACCCACTACTTTGAATATGGATAGGAAATTAAAGTGAAAAAAAAAGCAAAAATAGGATATGGATTAAATAAGTGGAAATTGAGATATGCTTTGGCTAGAAAAGATATTTTAAACTGATATTATTGATATTATTAGAAAAGTGTAACAAATGTTGATATGCAATTGTATGTTTACTAACAATAATAAGACTTGTATTTGCTTGATGTGGAAAAATGGTTATTGCCAGAAGAGAGGATGTACTGGTGGGTGTAATAGTGGACTTAGCTGGAAGAAGCTTATATGTACAACAGAATTACTAATGGACTCAATCATCACGTTGTCTATTGAGCACTTGTATGTGAAAATAGAAAATTAATAAAACATTTATATAAAAAAGAAAATCATGAGAAGAAAAGTTGTCATGATGTTTATCAAAAATTAAAATATCAAGTTGCCCATTAGGAGTATTTTTCCCCTTCCCTTTTGAAACATGTTGGTTTCAGGATTTGAGATGATTAGAAGCAAATGATAAGAATCAACTGAAAGCACATTCAGGAAAAGCCATGTTTGTAGGATTTCTTCAGCTGTATTGCTGAATTGCTAGGATGGCAGCACACACACACACACACACACACACTATATGTATTTGTATATGGAAATGGAAATGGATATGGACATGGATAAAAAACAGGAATCTGTTTTAATACTTCTCATAAGCACACCTTCATTGTCACATCAGGTGTCTACATGACTTTTGTTTTCAAATGATTCAGAGTTTTTGATGGAAGAAAGTGTAAAATAATAATTTGTCTCATTAATTTATTCAAAAGTATGAAGAAAAAAATAAAAGTTGCCCCAGTGTTCATGTTGATATTTTATCTATTCTTAATATATATAATGTTATCTGTCTCCGTGTTTCTCTATCTATCTATCTATCTATCTATCTATCTATCTATCTATCTATCTATCTAT